CCCCCTCCCTTCTCTCCTCTCCTCTCTTCTCTCCTTTCCTCCCCTCTCTCCTCCCCTCTCCTCTCCCTTGTCCCTTCTCTCCTTCTCTTCTCCCCTTTCCTCTCCTCTCCTCTCTCTTCTCTCTTCTCCTCTCTTCTCCCCTCCCCTCTCCTCCCTCTTCTCCTCTCCTCTCTTTTCCCTTTCATCTGTCATTTATTTTTATTATTCCCTGCCTTCTCCTGTTTTCTATGGTAGCATATTTATATAGGTCTGGTGCTATTTCTTTTTTATTATAGGTCCTCTTTAAATAAAATAATCACTGGGTATAATGGTACAATCCATAATCCCAGCCAAGATTACAGGTGTGTGCCACCCTGGCTGGCAAGAAAAAAATAGTTTAGATTCCATCTTTTCTACATTTAAAAGGGCCCAAGGGTCATTTCTATTGCCAAGGTCCTTTGAACATTTGATACCACATTTAGTTGAGGGCTTCTATTTTTCTGAGTTTTCCTGATTATCTTGGTTTAACAAGATGTATGATGTAATGCCACATACCCACTGTAGGGGCTCAAGTGCTAAGCCTCAAAGTAAATCCCAGGCTAAAGTGTTGAGTATCCCTACTTACTCATAGCACAGAAGCCTCCTGCTTGCTGTAAGGTGGCCCTGTGACTCTGACAGTCCCTTAGTCACCTTGAGCTCCAGTGTGGTCATGTATGGAGTTGAGTTTAAGGTCTTTCACTTTGTGATAGTTGTGAGGTTTAACTGAGATAATGCCTAGGAGTGCTTGGTAAGTGAGTCCATTCCCCACTCCTCCCTCTGGAATCTTTCACTGTGATGTAAGTAGATTCTTGGAATGAGACTTTTTCAGAATCACGCTTCCAGCAGCTGTTGATAGGTTTGAGTGGAGAGGATCTCTTGCCTTACCACCGAGGGAAGCTTTTTGCTTCCAGTATAACTGCATCTTTGGGGCAAGATTTGTCATCTTCCTCTTAAGACGAAAAGGGATTTGCCATTCGCTAATACAGGAGCCATGAGGAGACATATGGTATCTCATTCCCAGCTGCTCTTGAAAAAGGAAATGGTGAGGAGGGACAGAGGCTCTGGGAGGGTAACCCTGAATGGATGATTGAACAAACAGGCATTATAAAGAAAGAAGAGGCAGGTACAGGAAGGGCTATGGCTAAATGTGGAACAACCTGTACCATTTTTGGAGCCAGCCAGTGTGGCAGGCACAAAGGAAGGAGCTCCGGATGAGCCTCAGAAGGACTGAACTCTGACTCCTGCACTATATCCTACTACTCCCCGTATACTATCCAAGCCCCAGGCCACACTCTGTACCTTAGACTCCTGCTTTCTCTACTCTTCCTGCTGCTGGGAGCCAGAGAGAACAAGGTGGTGGTGTAGGGCAAGCTGTACACTCTGGAGTCATACTACCTGGGTTTAAGTCCCCATCCTCTGTTACCCTAGGCAAGTTACTTGTTTGCTATGTCTTTTATTTTGTCCTCTCTAAAGGTTAATAATAATAAATAAGTTTGTTATTGAGGATTAAATGAGTTAATACATATTATAATAATACCTGATAATAATTGCACTGTGTCAATCTTATTAATAAAATATCCTTCCTGTATTTCTTTTATTTCTTTTCTTTGTTTTTGTTTTTTGAGACAGGGTTTTGCTATGCAGTTCCGGCTGGGCTGGAACTCAAAAGGATCCTCCTGCTTCAGTCTCCTGAGTGCTGGAATTACAGATGTAGGCCACCATCTCTGACCCCATATTTCCTTTGGATATGTTGTTTCGTTTTCTTTTGTTTTGGGTACCTAGTATTGAACTCCCTTCATGCTTTCCAAGGAGGTGCTGTGCCACTGAGCTGTGTGCCCAGTTTTGTTTTGTTTTTGAGGCAGGCTCTCACAATATAATCCAGGCCAGCACTGAACTTGTTAGGTAGTTGAGGCTGGCCTGGAATTTATCTTTTTGTCTCAGCCTCATGAATAGCTGGAATTATAGGTATGTGCCACTATGTCCAGCTGTAGTTGCCAATGTATGAGGCATAATTGTTCCCATTGTGGACAGTTTGAAGCTATGGACATAATTTCAACTTTCAGACTTCTGGAACATGTAACCATTGTTCCAGCATACCACTACATTCATCCTGTTAAATTCACCTTGTTGAGTGCCAGCCAGCTTGCTGTTGCCTGTTGAGAACAGATGGTTTCCATTGATACTATTTGCTTTGTTTCCATAGGGGATGTATCAGCTTGCTATGGATATCATAATGATGATCCGGGTGTGTAAAATGTTCCGCCAAGGCCTCAGAGGATTCCGGGAATATCAAATCATTGAACCTGTTTACAGAAGAACCCCTATCTTCTCCATCTGGGATGTAAGCAGTTGGGCTTAGTAGGATTATTAGAAATTAAGGGAGTCCAATAAATAGTACTGTGCTTCCCAGCCCATGTTTAGAACTAACTGAAAGAGAAGACAGAAGATAAAATAGATAGGAGATCCAACTGTCTCTTTATTAATGATAGATAGATAGATAGATAGATAGATAGATTAATGACAGAGATAGATAGATAGATAGATAGATAGATAGATAGATAGATAGATAGATAATCTCAGACAGGGCATGGCTTATATCATCTAATACTGAATCCCAGAATCAACCAGTCTTTCTGGCCTAGTGACAGGCCACACTGGAAAAGACAGGCCCTTAGTGTATTAGTGCAACTGCAAGACCTGCTGTCCCGACCTCAGGGCGAGCAGAATAGGGGTTCAGGGGCGGAAAAGGGATGATCATGCTCAATTTCTCCTTTTGCAATCACCAAGGAGTTTGTCCTTCCTCTCTATGAAAGAAGAAGGTTCTCAGACCAGTGAGATAGCTCGGTGGACTAAGTGCCTGCGTGGCAAGCACAGGCACTGGGTTTGATCCTCAGCACCACATGTGGCTCTGGCCCCATTTCCCGCCCCCACCTACCTCTACATCCCCTTTCCTCATTTTCATTATTATTATTTTTTACTTCATGTTCATGACATACAGTATTTGCATTCATTATATTTGGTACATGTACATGACACATTTTAAATATTTTTATTTCCCCTGCTCCTGCCCTCCTGTCCTTATCCTTGGGTTCTTGAACCCCTTCCCGTCTGTAAAAGATCTGTCTCCATTTCTTTCTCTCAGTTCTTTATTTTCCATCTATTTACACTTTGCCTTACTCAAATGAGAGATATCATAAAGTATTTAACTTGTGTGTCTGATTTATTTCACTTAACATTTTACTTTCCAAGGGCTGGCCAAATATCTCAGCAGATTAAAGTGCCTGCAAGCAGGCACAGGGGCCGGGGGTTCGATCATCCCTGGGGCA